GCGCGTGTGAGAGGCAGCCGGTCAGTGTGTCTCTCTCCCTCTCTCCCTCCCTTCCCTTCTCTCTAAAAATAAAAATATAAAATCTTTCTTTAGAAGAGTTCCCCATTTTCACACTTTGCTTCAGATATGTCACGACATGGTTTTATTGTCCCTGGGATTCGTCCGATATTCGGATTTATAGTTGACAAACCCAAATGTGTGGGTTTATAGTTTTCAACAAACGCAGAAAAATTTCAGCCATTACTCCTTCAAAAACGTTTTTTGTCATCCTCTCCTGTCCTCCCGGGATTCCAAAATGCGTGTGTTAGTTAGACGGATGGCTGTTGTCCCACTGGCCGCTGAAAAAGCTCATATTGTTGCCTTTTTCTCTCAGTGAGTGAGCCAGCAGCCCTTCGGTCCGCGGGCTGGTGCTTGGGTCACTGGGCCGCCCGGCCAGGGCTGTCACCTGGTTTTAAGGTGCATGGAAGTTTGCTTTGGCAGAAAGTCTGTTTATCGCTGAGCAGTTTGACCTCTTTGCAGTGACTTCAAAGCTTTGTTGAAATGTGTCTGGACCGGCCTTTTGCCCCGAGACAGCCAAGCCCTGCTGCTCAGGTCACACCTGTGGACTCTCCCGAGACGCTTGGAGAGGTTCGCCGGGCCCAGGGGAGCCGCGTGTGCCTGGGACGCGGGCGGGCTCCGGGAACCGTGCAGCTCTGCTCTGCAGGTTCTCCCCCTCGCCGCGTCTCCCGGGGTTCCCTCGCACACACGTGCAGTTTGAAACCCACCAGAAGCCTCAGGGGACCTCTGTGCGCCCTTCCGGACTTGTCCTCTGTCCCTGCCTCTGCTCAGGCACCGCGCCTTGCAAATTCCAGCCGTCTCAGCCTCTCCAAACGCCGGTCTCTGTGTCTCAGCTCAGGAGACCCTGCACTCCGTGCCTCGGTGCCGAGCGGGCCTCCCGCCGGAAAGTGAGGAAACTGGAGGGCCCACACCTGCCGCACCGCTGCCGCTGCGCAGGCATCTCGGTCCCGGGCTGCCTGCTGTCGGGCGTGCAACCACAGCCGCTGCCTGGCTTTTCTTTCCCGTTTTCTGGTGGTTCACGGCAGGCGGGCAAACCCGTGTCGGTGGTCCCAGGACGGCCAGGGCAGCGAGCATCCCTTCCGTCCTTCGGAGTACACATGCTGACATGTCTTCACACATGAAAGATACATGATGGCCCCAGCGGGCGTGGCTCCGTGGATTGAGCGCCAGCCTGGGAACCAAAGGGTCGCAGGTTTGATTCCCAGTCAGGGCACAGGCCTGGGTTGCAGGCTGGGTCCTCAGTAGGAGGCCCGTGAGAGGCAACCACACATGGATGTCTTTCTCCCTGTCTTCCTCCCTCCCATCCCCTCTCTCTAAAAATACACAAATAACATCTTTAAAAATAAAGATATATGAGGGACCTGATTTTCTTTCATCCACACGCCAGTGGCACCTTTCCTGTGAACACAGTCACGGGCCACGAAACAACGTTTCGGTCGACGGCGGACCACGTGCACGTGACGGTGGGTCCCTGAGACATTGCCTGGCGCCGCTGGAGCCACGATAACACTGTCGCCGTCACGTGTCCTTGGGCGCAATAGTGGGGAATAGTTCCCGTTCCACGGCATCCCGCACAGCCCCAGGCCGTCTAGGTCTGTAGCCCAGGGGCTGAAGGGGACGCAGTTTGTCACCCAAAGCACACCCCATTGGCCCCAGAGTGACCGCAGGCTGGGCGGTTTTAAGAAACAGACACGGGAGAAACTCTGAGAACCACGTAAAAGTGACCCTTTGCCGCAGACAGGACGTTTGTGAGGGGGACCGCCCTGAGTCAGGGCGTCCCCTCCCTGCATGGGCAAGAGGGGGTGGCCTTCCTTCTAGAAGCTCTTCCCAGCGCAGAAGGTAGAGAGTTGCTGGCTGGGCTTTTCCTGGACCCCTCCCCCCATAACGGACTCCCCCCGCCCACGTCTCCGTCGCCCTCCGCGGGCAACGGCGTCCAGCGTGGTGGCTGTGGCCGTCGTGGCCAGCCGCTCGGCTCTCCGGGGGCCCTCCCAGCCACGCAGGGTGCGCGTGGTGCCGAACTCTGGTTTTTTTCCTGCAAGTGGTCTTTTATTACGGGGGCCCAGCCCAGAAGCCGGAGGGGCTCAGAGAGAATGTATACCAGGCCCAGGCGGTGTCCCAGAGCCCAGGTGTGCGGCGGGTGTGTGTAAGCGCCCCTGGGAAGGGTGCACGGAGGAGTCACGTGACAATGCGTGTCTCGGGACGTGGTGCGGCCACACGGGACCGCCGCACGCCGAGGGGGCCGTCTCCGCGGCTGCGCCGAGTCGTGCGGTGGTGCCCCCCCCCACCCCCGTTCAAGAGTTCTCAGCAGACAGCCAGGGGGCGGGCTCTGGCTCCTTCCTCCGGCCCGCAGCCCCCGCCCAGGGGCGAGCACCCCCGCGTCCCCGTCTCCGCGGGTTTGCTGGGGAGGCCCCGCCCCCAGCCGGCCGACGCTGAGCTTCCACCGCGGCGTCCGCGTCCGACGGCTTTTCCTGACGTTCGCGGGGACGTTTCTGGTTGAATGCGGAGGCTCTCCCAAAGGTCTTCGACCGCAGAGCAACCAAGGGCAATCACAGCGATAAAAAGGAACAGACTACAGACGAAAAACCAAATAAATAAATAGATAAAATAAAAGTGGAGGCTTTTCCAAAGCTTCCTGCCCACTCAGTTTAAATTGGGCAGGCCTGCTAGTTTCTTGCCTTCGGGAAATAGTCCGTCGGCGAGGTGGGGGAAGGAGGAAAAAGGTTGCCCCTTAGCCCTGGCCGAGTGGCTCAGTGGGTTGGAGCGTCACCCCGGGCACCAAGGCCGTGGGTTCGATCCCCGGCAGGGCGCACACGGGAGTCAGCCGACGAGTGCACGAATGAGTGGAACAAGGCGCTGATGTTTCTCTCTCCCACATCAGCAAACACAATGAAAAAACTAAGAAGAGAGTCGGTTTTCTCAGGCTTGGCTGAGACACGCACAGGCCGTGCAGCGTCGGTGGAGTCGCCCGGCCCCTGGGGCCTCACTCCTCTCTTCCTCGCGGTGGGGGTCACCGTGCCTCCCAGGCCCGGGGGTGGGGCCCTGCTGGGCCAGGCCTGGGGTGCACTGGGGGATGGGGGGCAGGGCTGGAGCCTCCACCTGGTGCTCTGCCTCCGCTCCGGGCTCCCCCAGCTGTGCTGTTCCACGGGGCGCCCGCCTCCTCCTGCTCCTGGTTTCACCACGGGCTCCTGCACGGGCCTGGCTGCCTGGCTGCGTTTCCTCCACCTGCCGCTTCCCCTCCCTTCCCTTCCCTCCGGCGCGGCGTCCCTGCCTGGGTGGTCCTGGCTCAGGGGCTCCCAGGGGGCTGTGTGCAGGGCCCGTGGCCTCTGGAGACGTCACCGACCCACTGGACCGGGCTCCTGCGGCTGCTGGCGGGAGGGAGGTGAGAGCCGCAGTGTCTCCCCACCTGATCTCAGGAGCACTCTCCCTTGGGCCCTGCTCCAGCGGCCCCAGCACTCCAGCCGGTACACTGCGGGAGGGGGCCCCGGTCACAGGACCAGGACACGGGGTTGGGGCCGGCCCAGAGGCGCCCACCACAGGGGGCACGTGTCTGCCCACTACCTGCTTGTTTTTAAAGCTGATTGGCCAGTTTGTTATTATGATGCCTTGGGTCCACCTGAAGCAGGCGAGGGCCACACCTGGAAAGTAGGAAGTGGCTGTTCTGCTGGGATTCTCCCAGGATCCTCTCTCCAGGGCCCGGCGGGCTCGAGGGATCCGGCCTGTCCCGGCTGGAACAGAACCCCTTGGGTGCTTTCTCATGCTTTTTGCTGAGAATGCTCTTTACTGCAGTCATGTCCCTCTGTGCGAGGCTCGAAGATCTTGCCTGTGCGGGCAGTGCGGGCCAAGGAATCACTCAAATCGTCCCTGCGGCCTGGACAGGCCTGAGGAGAGCCAGCACCCACCCTGACCCTGGCCGGGCCTCCTGTCTCCAGGGAGGCGTGGATGACAGGCCAGGGGCCAGGGCCTGCCACCTGACGGGGCCTCCCGGACGGCTGGGTGTCCCCGGCTAGGGGCCAATAAGCCAGCTGCCAAGGCCAGCACCAACTGTGATGTCATCCCAGGGAGCGTGGCCCGGAGCCAAACGGAGGAGCCTCGGGGCGGGACGGGGCCTCCAGCGTAGGGGCCCCCGTCACGGCAGCCATCCAGAGTCAGGGAGGCCGGGGGCTCTCTGCTGTGTGCGGCCCCTGCGGAGATCAAACACACAGTCTCGCCCAGCTTTAAAGAGGAATTAAATGCATCAGTACAAAAAACGTCAGGCGGCGATGAGGGGCGGGGGGGAGGGGGTGGAGCTGTGATTTATTGGCTCGTTAATAAGCGTTTCTAGGGCTGCGCTCGAGGCCTCCCACCCACCGTATGGTGCCCGTGGGCCCCTCCGCTGAGGTTGTGAGCGGAGCCGCCCCCAACCTGGCACCCACGGGCAGCCAGGCCAGCTGGTGTCTCGGGAACATCGGATGCAAACTGCATCGGGAAAGAGACCAGGAGGGGCGAGGGGCGGGCCTCACCCGCACCCTCATGTGTGGTCTCTGGTGCAGCTCTACCGAGTGCCCGGCAGGGCTGAGCCGGGGTTTCAGCGGCCCAGCAGCTGGGGGGCCCTGCCCGCCCACCGTGCGTGTCTCTCCCCAGCCTCCCACCCACCCCAGCCGTGACCGCCGGTAATGCCTGCCAGTCTGCTGGGTGAGAAACGACCCATTCCGGTTGCTGGGTGTGCACGTCCGATTTTGGAGGTGACTGGAGCATCTTCCCATTTGTCTGGGGCGGTTCTGGGCAACCGCTAGTTACTTCCTGTTCACGGGCTGCTCTTTCCTCCCCGGTCAGCGAGGACCCCCCGATACTCAGAGCACCTGAACTGTGCACGGTGTGCGTCACGCAGAGCGGCTCCTGGCCGCATCGCTGGCTCTGGCGTGGGGCTGGGACGGCCGCCCTGGGTCTGAAAGGGGGTCCGCAGGTTTATGGATTTATAGTCATTACTTTATTGTCAACAGATACTTAGGGAGGGCCTCCTGGGAGCCAGGCAGGCCACAGCTGGGAAGCGGCGGAGAGAACTCACACCCCTAGTCGAGGGAAACAGACCGTGAAAAACAAGGAAACAGCAGCGCGTTAGGGCTGGGGGAAGGAACCCGGGGCTGGGGCCCGGCCTGGGAGGGGCCGGCGGGATCACGTGTTTAAACAGGGAGCTGGAGGAGGCCCACAACGGTGCGCAAAGATTTAAAGGAGGAAATGGGGGCGGCCAGCGGGAAGGGGGAGGAGCAGTCCGCAGAGGGATGGCCGGTGCAAAGGCCCTGGGGTGACAGCACCCCTGGGTGAATCCCAGGAACTGCGAGGCCAGAGTGTCCGGGGCCATGAAATCGTGGCGCAGGGAGCAGAGGCCAGATGGGGCGGGGCCGTGGATGCCTGGAGGACTTTGGCTCCCCTGACGTCGGCGTCCTTCTCCAGGTGCGGTGTGAAGCTGGAGCAGAGATTGGAGGGTTTACCCTTCCAGTTAGAGGCGGAGCCCCGCCCAGCGCCGGGTCTACACCCCCCTGAGGACCTGCCTCCAGGTCTGCCCGCCACCAACCCCCCTGCAGCCCAGGCAGCCCTTGGGGAGCAAAGTCCTCCCTGCTACAGAGAGGGGGAGGAGGGAGGCAGACGGGTGTGATAGGTGCCCTCTGTTCTCGTGGCCACATGTCCCCACAGCTTGGCTCCCACTGTGCACCCGAGCGAGGTGCAGCGGATCCGGCCACCTACGTCCCTCTCCAAAGGGATCTCGGAACCGAGCTGGACTCCAGGGTTGGAGGGTATGGGGGGGGGGCGGAACCTGCTTGCAGGCCCACTCGCTCAGCCCTAGGGCCGGGTCACGTGCTAGGGGCTTCTCCGCGCCAAGGCTGCGGGTCCCTGCGGCCTTTGTTCAGAGCCCCGCCCGGCCACCTGGGCAGGCCCGAGGCTGAGCAGGGACAGGTCGGACAGATGCAGGGCTGGACCCCGAGGGCACGGCCGCTAGGGGAGCGGGGACGCCCAGCCCTGCGAGGGGCCTGCCTTCCCCGGGAAGAGGGAAAATCCTGTCCGGGAAGATGCCGGTCCCCGCGGGCTCTTCAGAACCCGGGATAAGGGGCGGGGATCGCAGACGCCTTGATTCGATTAGTTATTCTCCACAGCAGAGCTGACCTGGGAAAATTTTCCTCGAGCCTTATCGCTTAATCTTGTCGCTTGGCTGCCGGGGGGCTGGGGGAGGTGAGGGTTGTGAGGAGGAGGGGGGAAGGGAAGGAAAGGGAGAGGGGAGGAGGAAGAGGAAGGAAAGGGAGGAGGAGGAGGAGGGTCAAGGGCGGAGAAGGAGCTAGAAGGGGGAGGGGAGGGGGCTCCGTCCCGCCTGCAACCGGGGGACACGCGATCCGCCGCCAAGAACCCTTCGGGCCCGCGCCCGCCCGGAGGGGCCGACAGGGGCCCGGGTCTTTGCGGCCTCGCGGGTCCGGGGACGCCTTTGTTTCCAGATAAAGGAACCGCTCTTGCAGAACGCCGCAGCCAGATGTCGCCCGCCGGGCTCCGAGGGGCCGTCTCGTAAATTCTGCGTCTCCCTTTTGTACTGAGCGTTTGTTCTTACAATAACGACAGTTCCGCGGCCAAACAGTGCTTCCACCTCCCGGTGCTCGTTAGAAGTTCGGGGCGCCGGGGGACCCCGCACGGCAGGGGAGGGGCGGGCGTCTAGGAGACCCCCGGGAGGCGGGATCGCGGCCACACCCCGCGCCAGGAAGCCAGGGCCTGGGGGCACCCCGCAGGTACCCTCTGGTGACCGGACGCGGCCACGCGCGGGGCGCAGTGCGCACGCGCGCGCCCCACCCGCCGCGCTCCCATTGGGCGCTGAGCCTCTGCCCTCCGTGATTGGCCTGAGTAGCCACCCGCTCGGCGAATGGGCACGCGACTCCTGGCGGGCCCGGCCGCGGGACCCGCAGGGCGGCGGGGTCTGGGTCAGGTCCCCTGGGGGCTTCCTGCGTCAAAGTCGCTTGGCCCCTTTTTAACTCTCCCGGCGCCGCCCTCCGGTGAGGGAAGCGAGGCCGTGAGCGAGTCTGCGGTCGTGGTCGCCCTCAATAATGGGCCTGCACACAGATCCGCAGTGGCCGACCCCCCACCCCAGGCGAGGCGGGGCTGCCGGGGCGACCCTTGCAAGGTTTCAGGGTTGGCTCCTGCCTTCTCTGCTCTCCCCCTCGCTGCCGCCCCGCCATTCCCAACACCGAGGCCTTAGAAAGCAGACAAGCCTGCTTTCACCCCAAATTAGCGCGGTCACCTGCAGGTGGTAGGTTTGCAGGAAAATACAAAATGCCTTTCTCCTCTGCAGCTTCTAAGTTATTTTTAACGCGTATATAGTTTGCAATGAAAATATTACTTTAAAAAATCAATGCTATACTAAATAATAATAATGAAAGTAACGAGTGTTGGTGAGGATGCAGAGAAAGTGAAACCCTCGTGCAATGCTGGTGCAGCCATTATGAAAAGTGTGTTCACTCTCAAAGAGCTAAAGACTGAATTACGTCCCACCCCTAGGAACATACCCAAAGGAAACGAATGCATGCAGGGGCTCGACAGCTCATGCTCATTATTCACGTAGGGAAAGGGCGGAAACAATGCAAGTGTCTGCCAGCAGACGATGGACAAACACGGCGTGGTGTGGCGGCACGGTGGAATACTACTCAGCCATAAAAAAGGAGCGAAGTTCTGACCTAGGCTTCGGTGTAGATGGACCCTAGAGACATGATGCCTAGGGACATAGCCGGACATGAAAGGGCGGATGTTGTACGATCCCACTTCTGTGAAATACTTCGAATAGAAACAGAAAGTGGGTTAGAGGTTACTGAGACCTGTGGGGTGGAGGAAGGAGGCCTTATTGCTTAATGAGTGCAGGGTTTATGTTTGAGGTGCAAAGGTTCTGGGAGTGGGTGGTGACGGCAGAGCGTTGTGAATGTACTTAATGCTACTGAGCTGTACGCTTAAAATGGCAACTTTTGTTATGTACATTTCATTACAATAAAAAAAATAATAATGCTCTAATATACCCAAACCATAGAATCGTACACTTTAAGAATTATTTATTTTTAGAGCGAGGGAAAGGGAGTGGGGAAGAGAGGGAGAGAAACATCGATGAGTTGCTAGGGCCAGGGACCGAACCTGTAACACAGACATGTGCCCTGACTGGGAGTCGAACCAGCGACCTTCCGGTTTTGCGGGATGATGCCCAACCAAATGAGCCACACCAGTCAGGGGGAATTGTACATTTTAAGTGGGGGAATTGTATGGTATGTGAGGTATGTCTCAACAAAGCTATTAAAATATTTAAAGCCCAAAGACTGGAAACCATGCCTGCCTGCCCTCTGTGTTCCAGAAGTGCTCTTGGCTGGGTGTGGCGGGGTTTAAGTTCAGAGGAGGCGCCGGTAGCTTCTGGGTGGGCCGCGACACCCTGCTTTACTGTGCGCTACCGCCTCCACCCAGCTGGCGAGCTGTGCGGGGCGGGCTGCCTCGCGGAGGCATTCCCTGCCAGAGGCTGCGTGCATCACAGAGACAGGGACGGGGGGCACACAGCCGCCCCGCAGGGGATAAAAGCAGACGCAGCTCCCGACCGCCCGCCGCTCTCTCTCCTCCTCCCCAGCTCTGCCCCCTCGAGGCTCCAGGCGGGAGCCCTGCAGGGTCACCCCAAGCGGTGTCTTGCTTCTTACTCTCACTGGGCAGCTCCCTTTCGGTTCCCAAGTTCTGTGCGGCCCAATCAGGAACAGAGGCCACGGGGACGCTGTCGCGGAGGTGCGGCGGGGTCCAGAGGCCAGGCGCGGGGAAGGCGCCAGTCTTTCCTCCCAAGCTTGTGCTCTCCCCACGCCGCCGGCGCTTCAGGTCCTCCAGGCCGGCCGCCTTCCCGGCCGCAGCCGCTGGAGGGCGCCTCCATACCACTCCTCTCGGCCGGCGGGCTCCGCAGGGAGGGCCGGCGGCGGCGCCGAAGGTTGATCTCCTGGTTCACGCCTTCTGGTAGACCCAGGATGAGTGCGGGAGGCCGCAGAGGCGGCTTTTGAACATGGTCCCCAAAGTCACCGGGCGGCAACTTCCTGCCCCAAAGCTGCACCACAGCTCGTGACGTCGGGGCGAAAGTGCAGCAAAAGCTCCGTGGATGGAGTAACCGCCATCCCTTCCTTCTAAGGCCCAGCGCCTCCAGTTACCTGCTTGAGCGCTCAGCAAACCTGGACAAGTCCCACCCTCCAGAGGGGCTGTTTGCGAAGCGGCCCGAGCACTCTGTCCCGTGAGACGCACACTAGATGGCCAAGACCCTGCGTCGGGTCATCCGGCCCATGCTCAGCACCACAGTGGCTCAAAACCCTGCCCGAACAGCAGGTGTGGGTCCTCAACAGGTGCCAGGCAAGGAAAGGGGAGCGAATATCACTCTCTCCCCGCCCTTTCCCATCCCACCCCCACCCCCAAGCAGCTGGGCCTGGGACTCAGGCTCTCCCGGGTGGCCTGCCCGGAAGGGGCGGCATCTCCCTGTGAAGTAGCCCCAGTCCCAGGCTAGTTTCTGGAAGTGGGACCTCGAGCCGGCCCTGCCCCGGGCATTGACCAGTGTCCTTTCTCAGCCTCTGCCCTGTGGGCCCTGCGGTCCTGAGGGTTGGCAGGTGAAGACCACGCTGGCCTGCGTGGGACTTTGCCGATGAGGTGTCTGGCAGCCTCTGGTGGCCCGGCTGACATCAAGGGGCAGATGTGGTCTGGTTGTCCAGGGGGACAGTGAGGTCACCCAGCAGAGGCACTTTGGCGGGGAGCCTGGCCTGACCCGCAGAGACCCTGCAGCAGCCCCAGAAGCTGCCGCCGGACCCCGGTCTCTGGGGAAGAACATCTGAGAGGATGGCCCTGACGTCCTCATCAGGGTGGGGGGACGGGGTGCACCTTGGGCAGAGGGGGTGTGCCTGCGACGGCTGGGCTCCCGAGCGGTGGCCAGCTCCGAGTCAGCTGGGTCACAGAGCAGCTGGCCCCTAAATCACTCTGGGTTGGCCCAAGGGGCAGGCTTCCGCTCCAGGTGGGGGACTGGCGCGCCCCCTGTGACCCCTGCAGTCTGTTTCCGCTTCCTCCCCTGCCTCCTCTGGCCTCGCTGGGCAGCAGCCTCCTCTCTTGGGTGGAGCCTCCCAGCTTCCGGAGGCCTCCATGTGGGAGCGACAAAGTGCCTTTGAAAGGAGGCCGCGGTGTCAGGGGGCGCTGGCCCCACAGGGCTGCGGGCCAGGAGGTGGGGAAGCCCCGAGTGCCCGCATCTTGGGTGGAGAAATGGGTCTCGGAGTGGTGAAGCGGGGGCAGGCATGAGGTCCGAAGTCTCCTCCGCGCCCACCTCAGCACCTTGTCCCAGCTTCCACGGGCTGGCTTTGGCTCTTGCCCCTTGCCCCTCCCTCTCTGCCTGCGGTCTGCAGAGAGGGTCCCTGGAAGGGGGCACGTCCTGCTCGCCTCTTCACCCTGAAGCCTTGGCGGGGAGACACCCCCTTGGCTCTGCTCCCATCCTCCTTCCGTACACTGGGCTCCCAGCCACCCCGATGGGGCCTGTTTAATTGATTCAATTTGTCCAACAGTAAAAACACTCCACAGATGTCAGCCTTCCAGCTCCCCGCCCCCAGGGAGCCAGCAGACACCTGCCAAGGACCTGCGGCTGGGAGTCCTTCCAGGGGCCACTGCAGGTTGCAGGGGAGGACTCTGACCCCCTCGCTGCCCGTGGAGGGCTGGAGAGGGCAGCCCTGGGCGCGGGGGCCGAGGGGCCGCCGTGGCTGAAGGACCGTACCTACGCCACACGGGCAGAGGCGCTCAGAATGCTGATCAGATCAGAATCTGCCTCCCTCGGGGAATTGCGTTTACTTTTTCATTTATTTTATTTCACAGACTCTCAGGTCCAGGCTGGTGACCTTGGAGGGGACTCCCGTCTCGGTCGAGCTGCGGTCCTCGAGCCGCTGTCAAACCTGCATTCCCTGCAACGACACCCTCCTCTCCATCAACACTGACATGGGGGGGGCGCTGAGGGTTCTCTGGGGCCTGACCCCCCTGACTCGGTGGTTGTGACTTAGTGGTCTCCTTGGTGGCCTCCTGGCGGAAGAAAAGGAGCTGAGCCTGGGGTGCCAGCTGGGAGGGGGCCGCAGGCCACAGCCCGGAGTTCAGGAGCCCAGCGCCCGCACCCTGGACCGCACTGCTGCCTGTCTGCCTTCGGGGAGGGGGGAGGCTTCCAAGAGATTTGGGGTGTTGGGGGTGGTGGGAGGTGGTGAGCTGGCCAGACCTGACCCCCCAGGCCAGCCCAGAGCCCTCAGTCCCTCTGAGGGGCCCTGGTTCCTGCAGCCGCTGCTTCCCGCCGCAGGGGGAGGCCGCTGAGGAGAGTGGCTGGAGGGAGAGGGAGGAGGATTGGGGAGTTTGCACAGCTGGCCAGGCTGACTCAGGGACTGCTGCCCCATCCCCCAGCCGGCCCCATCTGGGACCAGAGCCCCCAGCCGGCCGTGATTAGAAAGGGACTGTCATTCAGAATCAGGCTCAGGTTAGCGAAATCCGGGCCCCTAGTCTCCCCCGCTCCGCAATCTCCCACGTGCTCCCTCTCAGGAAAAATCAAAGCCTTCTATCATTGATTGGTTACATTGTAGAAGGAGCCCGAGCTCATTTTTTATGGGCTCTTCCGAACCATTCCCAGGAGGCAGGCGGAAAGCAAGGGTTAAGGGAACCGAGGGAGAAGAGCTGCACGGGCTTGTCCAAGGTCAGCCCCTGCGCAGGCCGCGTTTCGGGCGGTTGATTCTTTCT